GAAACTGTTTCCCATAATTGAGCCCAACTTCACACAGCTCAAACCAATTAATTTATAAATTAATTTTGTCAAAGCCCACGGTAAATGTTACAAAAGCTCATTTTGAAATGCTTAATCGATTTTTGGGAAGCCCATATATCACTGTGACCCATCTTATAAGTCATGCCCAAATTTGCTCTTAAAGGCCCAGCTCAGATAGAAAAAGGTTTTGTTTAAAATTGTTCTTTTGAATTAAATGGTCATTAAACTATTAAGCTATCTAAAATGACACTATCTTATCACCGAACATTTTTTTTTGTGGTAAAAAAGGTCTCTCAACTCCTTAAAATGACATTTTTTCACTCAATTTAGCCAGTAAAGCAATCGGAATAAGCACATTTGACTTGCTATTGTAGGTTTTCAAGGATAAAAATGTCCTAAATTGATTGACACAAAATTTTCCCAAAAACCAAACTTTAGCTTAAGGAGCTAATCTGTATTTTGGTCAAACTTCAAATGAGGTGAATTTAATTAACCCAATAAAAGAAACCCACAAACACCACCGCCTTCTGCCTCTTTCTCCTGGTTCATGATTCACTGATGATTGTTAGAAGGATTTTTCAAGAACAAAAGAATCAGAGGACCTCTTCTTGTTTCATGATTCACTAGCCAAAAAATTCCTACAAGAACCATCATTATCATCATTTTCAACCCTCATCTGAGCTAGAAATTTCGACTTCCTCTTGCATTTCCTTCAATTTCAGTCCCAAAAAAAAATCATCAATGGCTGTGATCAGGAATCATCATTATTTTCCACCTTGAATCTCCTTTAATTCATTGAAGAAAATTATCATCCACCATTAATAACCAACACCCAAACCCCATTAAAACCGAAAGAAAAATAGAAAGAAGAACAGAAAATTAGAAAAGAAAAAAAAAAAAGAAGACCAAGGGAAAAACAGCGGCGAGTTGTCAGTCTGTCACCTTCGCTGCCATCATCATAGCTTATTTCTTCATCAGAAAATGTCTGGCTGAGTTTCGTCCCTAAACTTTTTTGCTAATATCAATTTCATCCTTGAATGTTTTTTTTTTTTTACCTGGCATTAGTCTTTGAACTAAAATCTTCCTGCCAATTAAGGATCTTTATGGTGGTGCCACCTCAAACATCTTTTTCTTTAGTAAGACGAACAATCACTCGGGGCATTTTACGAAGTTTCAAAGAAAAGAAGTCTTTGCCCATCTACAGCACTCACAAGCATCTACTGAAGTATTTTCTAGAATAGCAGGTTGTACACCTTCAATGGCGAGCCATTGACAAACTACGGAACAATCCAAGGGTGCTTTGGTAAATGAGCTTCAATTACATCTTTAAAATCCACGTCTTTGTCATCAACATAAAACAAGTCCCTATGTCCCAAGTGCTCTTCTAAACCGCAAAGGATCCCCGGAGGCAAAGCCATAAATTGGCTCAATATTTCATAATCTGAGTGCACTATCAATATCTTCCGCTGTCAATTTCTCTGCTAATGGCGCATGCAATTGATAGCTTCCTGCATGATTTCGTACAAGCAATATTCGACATCAGGAGCAAGAGCGAGGGCAGCAATGATGGAGCCAATGGGGGCTGAGGGGCCATGGTCCCTAAGTTTTGAAAATTTTAATTGATAGTATGAGAGTATATATATATATATATATATATATATATATATGAATTAGTCACTTTTGAATTAATTTTTTTTTCAAAAAGATTATTTTTTTTTGTTGTGCCAATTATTTCAATTTCAAAAAATTTAAACATATAATATGATGATCCATAGGAAATTGACCCAATTTGATATATTATAATAAAAGACCCAATTCATGCTAAAACAAAAATAATTACTTTATTGACTCATATACAAATATACAACTTAGTCCAATTGATTAAACTTGCTCTCCCTTTTCTTGTATCAGTTGCAACTACAGAACGGATATTTTCAATTATGAAGATAATGGAGACAAAACTCTGAAACAAGATGGAAGATAATTTTTTAAACTATTGCCTACCTATGTACATAGAAAAGGAAGTTGTTAAAAAATTTAGCACTAATTCAATCATAGATGATTTTAGTTCTATGAAAGAATGTAAAAAATCATTTTACATTTAAGAAAAAAAGGTTGAAATTTCAAGATTTGTTAACATAACTTATATATATATATACACACACACACACATTGAAAATAGTCATATATTGAAAACATTTTTATATAACATTTTTAATTGAAAAAAGGTATATTTATATTGCATAGTTATATATATATATATATATATATATATATATATATATATATATATATATATATATATATATATATGCATAGGTAACATGTTGGAGTATCTTCTCATAACGTGCAACTTGGGTGGTTTGTGATGTTATAAAATATTTAATCAAATGTTATTTTTTGTCTTAAATTTTGTTATGACTATGCTACATATTTATTAAATAGACTTACATTTATAATTAAAACTAATATTTGATACTTATAGGTGTTGTATATTTACATAGATGAAAATTATTTTGAACATAACATATTAAGATAATTTTTTTAAAATAATTTTGGCCCCCCCTAAGAAAAAAGTCCTAGCTCCAGCATCTGGGAACAATTAGTTTATCCCAATACTCATCTTTTCCTTTTGTTTCCTAATTATTAGAATTTTCGATATCAAAGAATATATGAAATCTAATCGCACTGAACAATTTACAGGGAGTACTTTTGAGAAAGAGTCTAGTACTATCTTCAACAGATCTCCTGGAAATGCTAGAGGTGCTTAATGGACACAAAAACATGAAAACAATGGGTTTGGAAGCAAAAATCAAGAACTCAGGGATAGCCTCCAGTGTTGTTGCGAAGCTAATAGATTTGGAAGCAATACCGGATTCTATTTCCTTCGCTGAAAGTAAAAAGAGTACTTGTCGAGGAATCAATTAGCTTTGCTAGTCTCCAGACTTCAGTGATCAATGGTGGGCGATGATGACGTTGGTCCAACACAAGTGTAAGCTGAATTTTCTAAAATGCCACTGAGTGGTTATTGTTTGGCTGAAAAAAAAAAGTTTGGTGTGGTGCCAACCTAGAGGTCCTTAATTGGCAGGAAGATTTTAGTTTAGGGATTAATGCTAGGTAAAAAAGCATTCAAGGATGAAATTGGTATTAGTGAAAAAGTTAGGTAAGAAATCGACGATCTTTCCAAATGATTAATTCAAACTTTTAGTAGCCCAATGACCAGAGTTTATATTCGTTTTTTCCTTTCGTCCCCACCATCTTACTTTTCATTAGTGTTCATTTTACATAGAACTATGGGGGTTATTAGTATTTTACTTAATTTTTTTTTGTTGATGTAAGCTTCCTGATATTTTCTCTATGAAAAATTACAAATCATCTAACTTAATTTTGTACATTTGCCACCTAATATTTTCTTATCTAACAACCTTTTATCCTGAAGTCCACTTGACTTGTTTGAGACATCTAACGTTTGTTCCTAGTATTCAAAAAATTATAAGCTACAGAATACAAGTGTAGAATTTAACTTTTTCTTTAGAGAATTTCATTTTGACTAGAAGTGAAGAAGAATGAAAAGCGTTTAACTCTTTTTTGATACTTTAATGGTATTCAGACACATTGTTTAATGAATTAATGTGTGTTTACAGTTTAAAATACGTACCTTTCATGAATAGGCACTTGTTAACAAACTTACCTTTACCATAGGCACATCTTTTAATATTCAACAAACAATGATCGTTAATGCAAGTAAAAATGAGCCATTGGCCATTTGGTCCAGTGGTCATCACCATTAAAGGTGATGCTGGAGGTCAGGGTTCAATCCCTGCCTCCCACAAATTTGTCACATTTTGTGGCGGTCTTAATTGACCTTCATCGATGGAGTCTGTACTCACATCGAACCCCCTCCCCTTCCCCTTAGACTAGGCTAGATTAGGTTATACGACATCTATCGTTTCGACAAAAAAAAAAAAAGAAGTAAAAATGACTATATTAAAATTAATAAAAATTCATTTCGGGTTTGATAGCCCATGTTTCCCCAACTGCGTTTAGGAACTAAGAAAAGCTTCCTCTCGTGTATCAAACTAGATTTTTCTTTCCCGATGTTTGGTAAAATTTTCTTGTTATATGACAACTCGTGAACCAACATATTGTAAATGTTTGTATATTTCTAGAAGATACAAACAATAATATGAACAGTGCAACAACTTAATATACCAAATTTACAAGACCAAATCTGCCTAAAAGTGTTGACGCTTATTGTAATCATCGACTCTTTCCATATCTTTTCATGGTGACATTTTCTTTTTGGGATGTCCACAAAAAAATTTTTGTTGAACAATCTTAAAGTATTATGAATTTTGTAAATAAATGAATGCTATCCTTGGTATGCTTGTCATAATTCCCATGCATAAATGAAATAAATACATTTAACTTACAGGCTTAAGCAGCCAAAAGTATTGAATTGGCTCGTAATTGGATAGATATTCAGTTTTGTATATTAATTATATTATATAGGCTTAAGTACATATGACACCTGTAATTAGAGATTGGTTTCAGTTCACGCCTTTGACCATGAAATAGATAAAATAACCCTTGAACTGCAATTTCTGTTTGTCTTTTTAACTGACTTAAATTGTCTGACCCCAAATTTTATTCTTCAAATTTGAGAACAAATTTGCCCTTATAATTGGAGGGAGCCAACGGGCCCATTTTAAGTAGTTGCTAGTGCTTAATTATATATCATATCATATCATAATCATAACTATATGTAAAGCCCAATGCCTGTTGTGAACAGTACTTTTTAGGCAGGTTTAATTGTAAATATGGGATTTGTGAAGGGTAAAGACTTTGTCCGGTTTCTTTGTTAATTTTGCTTATTAGAGGGGTGATTTGGGAACTTGGCTTTTTTGAATTCCCTGATACATGATTTGAAGCGGTGGCTTTTTTTGAAGCGGTTAGTCAACATTAATTTTACCCTGGGATGCACTGGCCTTTTTTTAAGCGGTTAGTGGACATTAATTTTACCCTCGGGAAAACATTTGGCCAGGTGTGCTTTGCTTGTTTTGCATTGCAATTTGCAAGAGATAATGGGTTGCTCTTGCCTTTGTAATTACAAGTTCCTCTCGTTCATTGTTCCGAATAACAACGGCTAGGCTTTGACTTGCAAGTTCCTCTGGTTCTTTGTTCCCAACAACGGGTAAGCTTTGATGCTTCTCCGATTTTGGCTTTGTTCAATCCTTTGGTTAGTCGCGATTGTTATTCTTTCTTGCTTACAATTCACTGGTATTTATCTGCATGTTAAGAATTGAAGTTTATTAGTTTTTCTTCTTTCCGATGAGTGTCAGCTCAAGTTTTATTGCACCTGTGATTTAGTTGTTCCAGAGGTCTTGCGTTTTGGAGGCAGCTAGGTAGTTGCTTAATATGAGACCCATTATCATTTTTTTTTTTTATTGATTTGGTGATGTATTTATCTTCATACTTTGTAGTTCGTTGCTTACTTTTTATGCATATCACGTATTTGTTTCATTGACAATTGTTAATTCGTGTCTGATATATTATCCTATACTATGCATAGCTGAAATTAGTGCATGTTTAATTGCAGGTATTTGTTTGGAGTCCTGTAAACGTTTTTCCTTGCTCTGCATCTTCTAATATCATGTAAGTTTCTTTCCATCTGTCTGCGTTCTCTTTACCTGTATACTTTTTTTTTTTTTCCTGTATACAATTCTTTTCTTTTTGGTTTTGCATGAAAGTTAATCTTGTTTGCTTCTTATTCATTCAAGTACATTGTGCTGTATTTTACTTGCATAAAATCTGTTGATTTTTCTCCCCTGTTTTATTGGCATGAAAATTATTTTTCTTTTGTCCTCGTTAGTTGAACTATAGTATATAAGTTAAACTATAGTATATTAGTATCACTGAAAATGGGTCGAAGGAGAAAATATGCTACGCTGGAGGAACTTTACAGTGAAAAAAATCGTCGTCGTCGTGAACGATATGCTGCAGCTAAGAAACAAAAGGAGAATGGTCCATTTAATACAACTTGCACTATTGCTGTGAAAGCATTGCGAATGATGGATAATTTAGCCGAGACGAGTACTTCCTCTATGAAGCGTATGCGTATCGATAAACATAATGATGGCACTTCTTTTACGAATACGAGCACAGATGATACAATTGAGAATCCTTTGTCCTCTTCACCTCTTATGAATAAATATGGTTCTCTTGGTTCCCCTACTATTCAAAGCGATGAAGCATTGACTCCTGTTAATATCCATGGAAAAAGCATTGCTAATGTTAACAGCATTCCAATAGGTAATTCTCCTATTCCAATTCAAAACTTAGCTTTGTTTTATCATTGTAAAATTATCTTTTGATTATATAATATATACTTATATAATTACTAATGTAAAATTATGTACAGTGCCAAAGGACAATACAAGTGATTGTAATACATTATCGACTAAAAAGGCTGCTCCATGGCCTAAGACTTCCAGTTCAATCAATAGTTCTTCATCTAAGGATAATGATGTGAAAGTCTCATTCGATGGTCAACGACGAAGAATGTACGCAACACCTGAGGAAGCTCAAAGGGAACGGAATCGTCGTCGTCGTGAATGTTATGCTGTAGCGAAGAAAACAAAGCAAAAATCCTCAGTTGATAATATTTTTACTTTTCCTTTGATCACACCTGAACTACAAGAAGACATTAGAACTAATGCAAATTTTGAAAACAACAATCACGTGCCTTTCAATGATGAATCAGTATCTCATGTCCGCAGTTGTTTCCAAGGTACACTTATTTTTTTCTCTCCTGAACTAGCAATTATCTGTTTGGTTATTTACATGTCATTTTATAATATCCAGTGCATCTTCTTGTATAATTTCTTGCATATCTAATTTCAAGTAAAAGGAAATTTATTTACTCAAATCTTTGTGTGAAGTATTGTTTATATTTTCTTTGCCATTACAATCACTTGTAACTTGGTAGTTTCATTTGTTAATAATTGAAAATAATATACAGGACCTGAGCTTTCTGAAGGCAATACAAATGATTCCAGGATCGAAAATACTATTTCAATGATCAGAACTTATGATTCCACCAAAAATTCTACAACCAGTGAACATGATCAATTAAAGTTTCCTACACCAGAAAGTTTGCTTGGTCCAAATTTTCGAGATGCCTTGTCTTCAACAAGAAACATACCAGGTACTAATCTTTATATGATCGTTCGTTTTGTTCTCTCTTTGAAGTGCATTTGTTTAGATAATTGAATTACAATTTTTTTTGTCTTTTGTTGATTAAAACTATCACTAAGTATTTATCTTAAACTTTATATACATTATCCTGGATTATTACATCAAATTTATGTTTATTGACACTATTGTTATAGGTAGACGTCGTTCTGCAAAGCATGATCCATTGCAAAATATAGCTGTTGAACCTGATGTTTTACCTTCAGTTCCAAATTGTGAATATTGTGATGCTAAGAGATTTCACAAAGAACCACCTAGATTTTGTTGTTCTTCTAGAGAAATTCAATTGCTTTCAACTGAAATGCCTAGAGAATTAATGCTTTTATATCTTGAGGATTCGGATGAGGCTGCTGAATTCTGACGGTGGATTCATAGTTATAATAATATGTTTGCTTTTACTTCACTTGGCATGCACTGTGATCAATCATTAAGTAAAGATTATCATGGAATTTATACATTTAGAGTTCAAGGGCAAATGTACCAGTATATCAATCCATTGGTATCGCCAGAAGGCAAGAAAGCAAAAAACTTACAATTATACTTTTTTGACACTGATCATGAGACAATCAATCGATTATCTATCTCAAGCAGATTTCGAGAAAGCTTGATTACGAAGATTGAAGAGATCTTGAAATTGAATCCATACTCTGCATTTTTCCGTGGTTTACAAAATCTTCCCAATATAGATGATTATAAGAATGTTCTTAACTCAAATCCAGATTTGGCTCAACGAGTGTTCAATCGACCTACAACATCTCAAGTCGGAGTTGTATGGACAGAATCTGAAATTTCTGATCAGATTACCTCGCATCATATCCAAGTATATGGAAAAAATGGTGAAACACAAATTATCAAGCATTATTATGCTTGTTATGATTCACTCCTGTGACGCCCCCGCTTCTCCCAAGGGCGAACCCTAGGGTATCGGCGGGACGCCTGCCTAGCTCGCGCCAGGACTCAAAACACAAAGCTAACAAAATTATATTAAACCAAAAGAGAACTATTTATAATAGGGCTAAGTAGGGTTTTAGGGCTAAGGAGGAAACCCTAATCTCGGTTAAGATTGAAAACCCTAGTTTATGTATTAGTTTGAAATGGTTAGCAAACTCTAGATTAGCAAACCTCTAGTGTTACAATTTATTAGAAAGATTAAGTGGAGTTTTATTTATCGCCCGCCTTTTCTACATTTTCTTTATTAGAAAATTCCCCAGATAATTTTTATTGAGTAAATATAGGTTTTAGATGATTTTTCTAGTATCGGTTAGTTTTTGAGAAATTAAGAACATATATCGGACGTGGGACCCACTAGCGCGGAAAGTTCGGTAAAATTCGGCCAATTAGGTTAAGTTTTGGATATTGGAATTAATTTACCGGGTGTTAAGAGATAAGTAGAGGTTGCAATTTGGATTGATATGAGAGAGACAAGTTAGGTAGGTATTTAATAAAAAGTGACAAGTGTCACCATGTGATTGCTTCATACCTTAAGACCACTATTCATGGTCTTACCAATTGACTAATTAAATCAAAAAACAACCAAAAATTCTTCATTTCTTCTCCCTTGTTGGCCGGCCCTCTCTCTCAAAAAGAAAGGAAGAAACTCTTCAAGTTTTGCTTTCATTTTGCTCCAAATCATCAAAACCAACCATTGAAACTTGAACTTACTCCATAAAACCTCTTCAATTAGTGTTAGTAAGTTGTTTGGTGGAGTGATTTGGAAAGCTAGGAGGACCTCTTGCTCTCTCTCTCTTGTTTTTAAGGTAAGTTGTGAAGAACCACCCTCCTCCCTTAATTGATGCTTAAATCATGCTTAGTGGTAGTATGAGATGCAAGTTTATGGATTATTTCTTGATTTGTGGTTGAAGTGATGAAGTTTTATTATTTTTGGGGATTTTTCTGTTTTAATATGAACATGGTTGTGTGGTTATATATGATGATTGGAAATGATGTTTAAGGACTCTAGAAGGTGGAAAAAGTGGACAATTGCAATCAATTTCTGTTTTGGAAGAAATTTCAGAAAATTAGGTTTTGTGAAGGAACATTTTGCCCGAATTTTTAGCTCCTAATTAGAGGCCGAATTGGCCTTGGCTTAAAACATGAAAGTTGTAGGGAATGACATTTTAGAGGTGTCTACAAAATTTCAGGTCAATCGGCGTAGCGTAGAGTGAGAAAAGTCAAAATTACTATTGCTGTTCTGGTTTTACCCGAATGTAAGAATTGCGCCTGTAATTGATTGTTTTGGTTAGGAATGCTTACGAATTGGTTGTTGAGGCCTTCTGATGAAATGTAGCCCTGTTTCTTAGCTTTCAGCTGGTTTTGGAATTTCTGGATTTGGACTTGGATAGCCTGATTTATGATGTTTCCGCTAGAATGCATTCTGTGAATCTGTTTTTGTGATTCTGGTGTAGTATTTTACATTTTTGACCTAGTGACCCTCGAAACTGGACTGAGGAGCCTTCTTCAACATTGTAGCCTCTTAAGTCCTGAATATATCTGCAAAATTTCCGGTCAAACGGATCTGTGTAGCTCGAGTTATAACCAAAACACTCGCACCTGTTTTGTACCCTGAAATTGTGTACGTTTTGAATTTCAGCTTCTGACCGTGCATTTTTCCGTTTTGATTCCGTATGATCTGGGTGTCAACTCCTTCATAAGAAATGTAGATCTTGGTTTTAGTTTCGAAACGGTATAAAGTGTGTCGAAATCCGAGTTCCGTAGCTTCCGTTATGATCAAAACAAGATTGATCGTTAGAACTGCCTTTGATCTGGATAGTTCTGACGGGTACTTTGCCACTCAACTTTCGTTCTGTTCTGAATGGATTCAGGTCTTGGCCAAAACATCAAAGTTTTAGCCTTATGTCTCAGTTTTCTAATGCCTTTGGAATTTCCTGATTTAGATTTGTGAGCTGGGAGTTATGGTCCAGCAAACATACCCTGTTCGTTACTCTAGAGTGCGAATTTCTGGAACGATTTTCCATACTTTCGACCTATTTCTGTTCAGATCCGGATTTAGGTGTCTTCATGAAAATTGTAGCCCTTCCTCTTTTCTTCGCAATGGTACCTCATGTACCTTGATCCGACACTCCTAGCCTAACTTTTGATCAAAACGGTTTGAGAAGGCAGATTTGGCCATTTCCGTTTGCCGTTCCGCGCGGGCGCGTGCGCCCGTTTTGCCGTTTCCGCACTTGCATGTGCCAATTTTGCCCTTTTGCTTGTTTTAAGTATGTTAGTAGCCGTTTGTGATATATTGTGACACAATCTTCAATTTCAGACGTTGGTGAGTTAGGTGGAGCCGGTGGGGCCTACTAGCTACTCCTCGCGGCACGAATTTCGTACTTTTGCTCTTTTGTTCGTTGTGTAAGTATTCAGGCCGCTCTTATGTGTTAGTTGCTTATGTGTTTCGATATGTATGAAAAGGGTACCTAGGCGAGGGTGTACTTTATCGCACTCGACCTAAACCCTAATTTACGCACACATTTGTATATGGCATATGTATATGAATCATTTTGGAACTAAACCCCTTGAGCTTGTGGCTCGGGGTGACTTTTGAGTAAATTTTGTGAAGTTTGTGAGTTTGGGACCCGATCTCATGACCTAGATGGACTATTCGAGTCGGTTAGGGATTGGTCGAAGTTAGTCCAACCTGGTTTGAGGTCACCAAGTTTGTGAATCCGGTTCACCGATTATGTGAACCAAGTTTGTGACCCGAGCTTGTGAACAAAGCTCAATTTCGTTCGCTCGAGCAAGTTTGTGAGGTGTCTGGCCAGAGAGGGTGATAAGGTGTACGGTGGGAGTACAAGTGAAGTTCTACGGACCATTATGTGTGGTCGACGGAGTGTCGGCATGAGGTCACACATGGCAAACGATCTGGCTTTGGAGCCACCTGTATCCTTATTATGTGATGTTACTTTTCCGCTTTTGCTTTACTCTTACTGTGCAATTGTTAATATGTGAGATTTACGCTTTTGCCCCTGTTTACTTGCTAAGCATATAGCTTACCCCTTTTCTTTTGTTTTCCTTAGCAGGGGCCGACGCGGGGACTTTTGACACATACACTAGTATAGTTAGGTTTGCTTGTAATAGTCGGACAGTTAGGATGTTTGTTTTTGTTTTGGTGATTTGTATAAGAACCCTCCTTAGGGTCTACCTTCTGATGATTGTTATTATAATGTATTAAAGTGGTTTGACTCGATACTTTTGAAGATGTAAATAGAATTTTTGGCGGTTGTATATATTCCTCCTTAGCCCTAAAACCCTACTTAACCACACCGAAATAATGAATAACCCTAATATCAACTTACGAACTGATTGGGGCCTCACAACTCCAATATCCATTAATCTTCGTCAATGGTGAACCTGGATGGCATCCTTCTATTGAACGAGTACATATTGATCGAATGAATCCTCATCAACCAACAACTTGTGCTGGAGAAAATTTATTGGACCCCCATCAATATACAAGTCCTGATCAGTTATTTGAAGCTGAAAAAAAAGGTAACTTAGAATTATTTATTATATATATATTTTAAATGTATAATGAATTGTTTCATCTAGACATAAATTTATATTCTTTATCCTGAACATCTCACTTGAAAAATGCAGGTACTAATTCGAATAACCACAAAAGAACCACTGTTTCTTGTAGAGAGTATTATTGTTATAAACTTCAAATACGACCAAGTGATAAGTCAATGTTACTTCATATCGGCCGATTATTACAACAATTTGTGGTCGACATGTACATAAAGATTGAATCATCCAGACTTGCTTTTCATAGAAATGAGGAGTATCAACACAAATTTCGGACAGAATTATATGAAGGGTTACTCGATAGTCTTTCTCGAGGTGAGGCATCTTCATCAAATGTTGGAAAAAGAATCATCCTTCCAGCTTCATTTATTGGCAGTCCTCGAGACATGCGCCGTCGATATATGGATGCAATGACATTGGTTCAAAGGTACGGAAAACCAGATATTTTTCTCACTATGACATGTAATCAAAATTGGCCTGAAATTAGAAAAGAGTTGGGGTCGACTGATACGATTGATAATAGACTTGATTTAGTTTCAAGAATTTTTCGAGCCAAACTTGAGTTATTGAAACACGAAGTCATCAAGAAACAAATCTTTGGTAAAGTTGCTGCACACACTTATGTTATCGAGTTTCAAAAAAGGGGATTATCACATACACACTTTCTCATCATTTTGAAACAAGGATCAAAAGTATATTCTCCTGATGCTTATGATCGGATCGTATCTGTTGAGTTACCTGATCCTCAACAACAAAAGCATTTATACAGTTTAGTTGTCAAGCATATGCTTCATGGTCCATGTGGTATAATGAATCCTCAATGTCATTGTATGCGAGAACACATTGGCTGTAAAGATCGATATCCAAAGGATTTCA